AAACAAAGCAAGGTCAGCTCACAAACTTCTGTTATCATAAAAGCAGGTCATTGTACCACTCACAAAATGCCAACTCTCATCACTTGGCCAAAATGGATGACTGCTGCTTTGTTCCAATTAGAGCGACATCTTCACCCTAGACTGACCTTCATATAAATAAGACTGGTTGAGATATCAATCAAAATTGTATCCATTCTGACAGTACACAATCTAATATGAATTTGTTGTGGAGAATTATATTATTTGGATCTGGAGTCCCGCTTTGGCTCAGGGAGACTTAGCCCTAGACTTAATCCAGGTCCTGGTCTTCCTGTATGTAGGAACTAGGAGGTATACATAGAGGTGAAGAGAAAAACAAGATTTATTGAAAGGCAAAGGGAGAGCACACACTCAGACATGAATGTGATCAACCTCCTGAGGGAGAATTGCCCCCACCCAGGCTGATGTTGCCCTTTGTATGGGATAAGGGGTAGTGCTCAGGGCATGGCTCAACTGAACATTGAAGGGAAGAAGGGTTTGGTGTGAAGCAGCAGTGTACATGGTTATCTCCAGGGAGGTGTCATGACATTTTGTGCATGATGGGATGTGGGTGCCTGGAGTACTTAGTCCTGTTGAATTAACACAGAAGGTGATGAGATCTGAGCTTCTTACCTTTCCCTAGCTACCTGCCTGGCCATATCAAATTTACTTCTTCAGGGCTTGGCGCGGTGGCCTAGTTGCTAAAGTCCTCACCTTGAATGTGCCAGGATCCCATATAGGTGCCAGTTCTAATCCTGGCTGCTCCACTTCCCATCCAGCTCCCTGCTTGTGGCCTGGAAAAGCAGTTGAGGACGACCCAAAGCCTTGGGAACCTGCACCCGTGTGGGAGACCTGGAGGAAGTTCCTGGCTCTTGGCTTCGGATTGGCACAGCACCAGTTGTTGCAGTCACTTGGGGATTGAATCATTGGATGGAAGATTTTCCTCTCTGTCTCTCCTCCTCTCTGTATATCTGACTTTGTAACAAAAAAAAAAAAAAATCTTTTAAAAAAAAATTTACTTCTTTAGATCATTCCTGAAATTACTCACCAAAAATGCAAATATTTTAGAGTTGTTGTCCCTTCTCTTCATATCTGTGGAGGATTGGTTCCATACCTGTGGATAATGAAACCCATAGGTGTTTAAGTTCTCTTATGTAAAATGACATCATTTTTGCATATAACTTACACACAGCCTGCTATGGACTTTAATTCATCTTTAGATTATTTATAATTCTTCATACAATGTATATGTATTCTGTAAATGGTTCTTACTCCGTATCGTGCCGGGAATATCCACCAGAAATAAAAGCCTCTATATATACTCAGTAAAGATTTTCAATATTTGTTGGATGTGCTTTGGCTACTGTTTCTCTTCAGGCACTCACCTGGGGAAGGGGTTAACAGTTGCTGCATACATGAGTAGAGTGGCTCACCACTCATAAAAAGTTCACACAAAGAGCTCCCCAAACCATGGAGACTGACAGAGATCCTGGCCAGGCTCTAGCTGTTCCAGTCCTAACCTCCAGCTTCAGTAACCTTATGTCAGGTAAATGCCTGCAAGGCGTTTAAGAGAAACATGCTGAGACCTGTCCCAGGAGACACAGGACAGCTGTCAATCTCCTCTGTGTCACACTGACACAGGATCTGCTTTGTTTTAGTCACCTGGGGTAACCTCAAGCAATCCTGTGTTCTTTATCCACACATTCTCTTTCCATTCAGAGGGATGCCGTCCTTAATCAACCAGAAACCCCCTTCTAGCGACAAGTTTTCTGTCTTTGAGATGCTTTTAGTCTACTACCTCACCCCCCCCCCCAACTTCCCTAAAGATTTTTTTTTTTAGGGGACTGGCATCATGTTGGAATTGGGTAAGCTTCAGCCTGTGGTGCTGACATTTCATTTGGATGCTGATTCGAGTCCTAGCTGTTCCACTTCCCATCCAGCTCCCTGCTTATGGCCTGGGAAACCATGTGTGAGACCTGGAGGAAGCTCCCAGCTACTGGCTTTGGATAGGCTCTGCTCTGGCCATTGTGGCCATATGGGGGGTTATCCAAGGGATAGCAAGATCCCTAACTCTGCCTTTCAAAGAAAAAATACAATAAAACATTTTTTAAAAAGTTTTTAGGACTAATCTGAAAAATATATACTCCTTGTGTAATGCATACATTTTGACTACAATTTGAGTATTTTGAAACACTTCCAAAACAATGAACGTCCTTGTGCTTGCGTCTCTTGGACTAAGGACACTCATATTCTGTCTCGAATAAACTTCATGTTAGCCTGTTTACAGATCCTGTTTACTTTCACAAACGTAACAAACTGTAGGAGAGACCTTTGACTAGAATTCCCTGCTTGTGGCCTGGAAAAGCAGTTGAGGATGGCCCAAAGCCTTGGGACCCTGCACCTGTGTGGGAGACCTGGATGAAGCTCCTGGCTCCTGCTTTGGATTGGCTCAGCTCTGGCCGTTGTGCTCTCTTGAGGAGTGAATCAGTGGATGGAAGATCTTTTTCTTTGTCTCTCCTCTCTGTATACTGACTTTCCAATAAAAATAAAAATAAATCTTTTAAAAAGATTTGTGGATTGGTGCCCTTACTTCCACTCAATGTATTTTAATCTCGATACCAAAATAACTCAGACAGGTTAATATGCCTCGGTAAGATAGATGATCTAATTTTGAAGCAAAGCTAAAACTTTACTACTAGTGTAACATTTTGGAAAGGAACTTGTAAGTTTGTAGTTATACATAATATAAACATGCAGTTATGCATAATTTTCCTACTTACATGTGGGAATTAAATTAAGTAGGAAGTTATGGCCCCCAAATGTTGAAGCAATTATGTTTTAAATTAAAAGTAATGTATCTAAAAAGGAATGTAATCTAAAAAGCTTTATGTACTTAATTATTAATTAATTAAAAGGCAGAGTGACACAGAGAGAGGGAGAAACAGAGAAAGAAACAGATTTTCCATCTGCTGGTTCACTGCTCAAATGGTTGCAATGACTGGGGCTGGGCCAGGCAGAAGCCAAGAACTTGGAATTCCCTGTGGGTAGCAAGGACCCAGTCACTTGGACCATCCTCTGACACCTTCTCTGATGCATTAGCAATGAGCTGGATTCCCAATTGCAGCAGTGGGACTTGACCTGTGCCCATAGGCAAGTGGCAGTCTAATCCATTAGGACACAATTCCAGCCCCTGAAAAATGTCTTAATTGAAAGAAGTAAATGGCTGTAGTAAGAAACAAAATGCAAATAAACAAGATAATCTCTCTTTTATTATCTACCCCTCCCATTGCTAACCACTCCGATTTAGACACTATCAATCACCTGGTATGCATCCTTCCACACCCTACCATTCTAACACATGTAAACATAGGAAAGCATAAATACACTTGAGTGTATTACTCCAACCTCTGTTTCCATCAGCACACCATCTTCTTTTCTGTTTTAAGTCTTCCTCTGCCTGTTTCCTTTAAGGACACTTGTGATGACATCATAGCCCATTGGCTAATTTATGATAATTTAGTCACATCTTTTGCTACATAAAGCAAATTTCTTAGGCTCTAGGGATTAGGAGTTGTTTTTTGGGGGGAGTAGGGAGAATGTGTCCACTCTGTCACAACACCAAATCCATCTTTAATATTATGTATTTAGGCAAAAGCACATATTTGCATAAAGGGACTATAATTCACTATTTTAGAATTTATTTATTTTAAAGATTTATTTATTTGAAAGTCAGAGAGACAAATCTTTCATTTGATGGTCACTCCCCAAATGGTAGCAACAGCCAGGACTGTGTGGGTCAGGCCAAAGCCAGGGACCAGGAGCTCCATCCAGGTTTCCTAAATGCTTGGGTCACCTGCTACCTCCCTAGATCATCTACAGGGGGCTGGACTGCAAGTGGAGGATTTCAGCAGGGACTCTGATATGGTACACCAGCACTGCAAGTGGTTCCTTAGTCTTCTGTGCCACAAAGTCAGCCCCTGGTACAAGGGCAGACGCCTGGGTCTTACCTATAAAATGTTCTGTTTGAGAACAGAAGATGGTGGGAGACGACTTCTTAAGATTTATTTTACTCATTTGAAAGAGTTAGAGAGAGAGAGGGAGAGATCTTCCACCTGCTGGTTCATTTCACAAAGGCAGAATCCAGGAGCTGGGAGCTTCCTCCTGGTCTCTTACATGGGTGCAGAGGTCCAAGCACTTGGGTCATCTTCAGCTGCTTCACCCACCATTAGCAGGGAGCTGAACTGAAAGTGAAACAGCCATATCTTGAAAGGGAGCCGGGAAGGGATGCCAGGGTAGCATCCCTTGGGCCGTCCTCGACTGCTTTCCCAGGCCACAGGCAGGGAGCTGGAAGGGAAGCGGGGCTGCCGGGATTAGAACCGGCGCCCATATGGGATCCCGGGCGTGCAAGGCGAGGACCTTTAACCACTTGCGCCACCGCGCCGGGCCCCAACCACTGTTATTTTTAAGGCACAGGATTTAGGTACAACTCAGCCTTGTCAATATGCAGTGTGCAATGGGCTTTTGCATTACACAAATGAAACCATATTAAAGGTGCTTTCAGTATCCTAAATGTTCCCCTCTCCCTGCCGCGGTGTGGTTGTACTGTGTCATTCAATCAGTCCTCTGTGGGTGGTCATGTTCTTAGCTTACATCTTTTCATCCCCATCTCTCCTTAATTTTTATAAAAACCCTTTCCTCCAAACTGTGGTTCTTGGAGCTGCTAAACTTGCTGAATGTTCGTGTTTCAAAACTTTTAGAAGCTTGACAGCTCCCTCTTAGGCAACTGTGGTCTTCTTTAACTAACCATGATTTTGTCCCTTCTTCCAAGCAAGGGGAGGGAGGAGAGGACAAACAAAAAGTGCACGGTCCACACACCCTTTTCTTTTGTCTTGACCTGCCCCTTCCCGGAAGCAGAGAATCTGACAGACTCACCTACTTCCTTACGTCAGCTACAAGCAGGAACTTTGCCACCAGCTTTCGGTCCCCCGTGGCTCCTACTCTGTCCGCGGAAACGTTGGAAGGCGTGGTCCAGGTCCGGGCCTGCTGGCTCAGCGCCCGGGCTTTTGCAGCTTCTTCCTCCCTGGCCCTGCTAAGACCGCCCTGGGTACGAAAAGGCCACCCCAGCAACCCAGATAAGGAGGGAGACTTCCCTCGCTCCACGGCTCGGAGATACTTTTCAGGATTATTTAAGGATGTGACCTCCGTTTTGCGAGGAAGTGACAGGTCCTTCCTTGGCTGGGGTGAGCTGTCTGGTAGAAACGCGTCGGAGGGAGGGAGGGAGACTGGGAGAGCTGGTGGTAGGACGGGCGGGCTTTCCAGTTGGCAAAGTTCACTTGTTAACTGGCTGCCTCCCGGGTCAGACCACGCTGGGAACAGTCACGAGAACCTCATTTACTGAATTCAAACGACGAGCCATAAAAACCTGAAGTGCACATTGGGGTGCCACTCAACACGGAGGCTCGAATGCCAAGGCGAAACCCCTTTGGCTCCTCCTCGTGTCCCGGAGGTGCCAGGTTCTAACCTGCAAGTGTGTCGTCTGACAGTTAATCATTTGTCGCAGAAGGAGCTCCGCTGAGGAACCGGAGGGACGTGAGCGAGCTCAAAGGAGGCGCGGAGGGAAGGAGCGAGCGAGCGCGCGCGGGACTCCAGCCGAGTCCCCGCCGGCAGCACAGGCGCCGCCTGCCGGCTTCCGGACCCCGGCACTTTGGGGGATTCGGAGCGCGGGGCCCGCGCCAGGGTCCCCATGGAGGTAGCGCGGCCGGCGGGCCCGGGCGCGCTGCAGGCCCACGCGCGGGGAGCGGCCGGCATTCTGCTGAGCCACATCAAAGGCAAAGTCTTCACCTGGTGAGTGCGGGGCCGCCCCGCGGCGCGGCAGGGGCCGGCAGGAGGCCGGCAGGGACGGACAGGCCCGGCTCGCACGTGTCTGCCGGTGCCGGGAGGCCGAGGGAGCGGCTCGGTGGACTTTGGGCGCTCCCCGAGCGCGCCGAGGATGTTGCGCTTCACCTGGCTTCGGGAAGCGCTCCGAGCCCTTCCCTCGGCCGTGCGTTCCGTGGGACTTGGAGTGGGTGGGAAATGCACGCTGTTGGAGCTGTGAGGCCGGTCCCTGTGGCTTCCTGGAGGCAGTGGGAGGTGGCGAGACGGACGCGGTGACGGAGGGGTGTCCCCCGTGGAACGTCTCTTCCTGACACTGCGTCGGTTTTCCTTCGGCTGCCCGGCGTTTCACACGCGGCAGGGTGAGCCTCTGCTCACACGAGTTCGCCCAAGTGCGGAACGAGGCTGTGTGCTGCCGCCTGGCAGCAGCCCCGAGTCTCCAGTGCCTCCCCGGGCTGGAGTCGCCGGGCTGGGAGGAAAGTGGGAGAAATGCTCTTGAGGACTTGGCCCCCTCACCTGGGAAGGCGTTTCAGTGGTTACTGGAATTCGTGCCTTCTGGAAAAGCAGACGACCTAGGACCTACCTCATGGAAACCATTTATGTATTGAGCGCTCCCTCTCGACTGGGGACTGTGCATACGAAATCGCCCGGTCCTTGCTGCCCTCGCAGATGGCATGTAGTGATACCCACTTTGCAGATGGAGGAACAAAGAGGGCAACACCATTTGCCCGATTCCAGAATTTGTTATCTTAGGTGAGGTGCCGGCAAGCCTAAGCTGCCCTTCCACCACTCTTGGCTGCTAGGCGTCTCATAAAACAAACACTTGATGTTTCCATGTTAGCGAAATAAATTGCCCTTTGAAGATTGATAGCTAGGTCCTGAAAAGCCGTATTGTTTTCAAAGGTTGGGTCCGTAAGGCTGTAGGCATTTTTGTCATATAAATAAGTGTGGTGTTGTTTTGACTTGGGTAAAACAAAAGAAAACTAAAACAAATGCCCTCCTCCCCCACCCTCCACCCCCCCCCCCCCGCAAAAATTGCTTTCTTCTGGCTGGTTGGGTGTGTCTTGATAAATTTAGCTCTACATGCTCGCTGGAAGGCTAGGGTAGGAGGCAGGGTAGTGTCCCGGTTGAGGACCCAGGTTTGGGATTCATGCCCTAGCTGGCTGAGATTGGGGCAAGTCACTCAGTTCCAGTTTTCCTGTTTGTAAAGTGGAGATGTGAGGTTGTGGTGAGGGTTGGTGGGTGACTACACAGAAGTGGGTGCTGTGCACTGGTTCGTTGCCAACATCAGCTTACCAATCCTGGGTGATAATAACACCATGGTAGTAATTGCTTAGGCTGATGCCAGTGACCAGAGCCTGGAGAAGACAGTATGTCAGTTTAGCAAGATGAAAAAAAAATTAGCAATAATTTTTTTCCCAATGTCTTCACATTTTCAGAATCCTGGTATGTTGTTTTTAAGATTTTAAAGAAAGTTGTTCCATCTACTAGGTTGCTAGGGCTGGTTCAGGCAGAAGCCCGGAGCCTGAGCTTAACTTGGGTCCTCCACATGGCTGGTGGAAACCCGAGTGCTTGGGCCAGCATCAGCCATCTCAGGGTGTATGGGCAGGAAGCTGGATCGGATGTGGAGGAGCTGGGACCTGAATGTATGGGATGCTGGCATCCTAATCTGGTTTAACCACCTAGACCACACCTCCCACCTTTGAATCTTGTATGTTTCACCATCAGGAGTATATAGAAGCCTCCTAATTATAAGATTTCTTCTGGGCCTAAGTATACTGGTTGTACCCACCTGAGGGCTTACCTTTCTTCCTTGTGTAGCACTTGTGTAAGCACTTGTGGGCATCTTATAATGCTGAACAGAGTTCCATAACAATAGGAATAGTGTTGGCTCATCATGATAACACGTAGCGGCTAAAATTCTTGAATGTGCCAGGATCCCATATGGTAGCTGGTTCTAATCCCAGCAGCCCTGCTTCCCATCCAGCTCCCTGCTTGTGGCCTGGGAAAGCAGTCAAGGACGGCCCAAAGCTTTGGGTCCCTGCACCTGAGACGGAGACCCGAAAGAAGCTCCTGGCTCCTGGCTCCTGGCTTTGGTATGGCTTAGCTCCAGTCGTTGAAGTTACTTGGGGAGTGAACCATCGGACGTAATATCTTCCTCTCTATTTCTCCTTCTCTTTGTATATCTGCCTTTCCCCTCCCCCCCGCAAAAAAAAGAAAAAAGGAATAGTGTCTTTTTTAGTTTTTTACACTCCCATAATTCTTAGCACACACATTAGTGAGTTGCGGTTGACAGCGGTTCCAGGGCTTTTCCCCTGATTCCCAACCTTACTTCCTGATTCTTCCTTTTGTCCATCTTTGTTCCGTGGGGCTCGGGCTGGAGTGTTCCTTGCCGATTGGCCTAAGTCTCCAATTCTTTAAGGTTTTCTATCCAACCTTGGCAATTCTTTAGGCAGTCGATGGATTCTGATGGCAGTTTTTGCTTGTCCAATCCAACAATCAGAAAGTGCAGCCTGGCAGATATGTACTACGCTTGTACTCAGTATTGGAAACTGTTATTAAATCATATTTACCAAGGTTGGGTTTCACTCTTGAATCTCCAGCCATGGATCAGGCACCTTGTGGGAGAAGACAGTTTGGTGCATGGATCTGATGCTATCGCCGTGTGCAGCATAGTCTATAATTGCACAGCCCTTTTCTATCCTTTTAGTCAAAGAGGATAAGACTACCCCTTTGGCAACTGGCTGCTACATATAGTTGGGGCCCAGAGTTGCTTTTGTTTTTATCATGAGAAGTAAGTATTCTTGGAGACTAATTCCTGATACAGCTGCCTCCCTAAGGGTACAGTTTTCTGTGTGATTATGAACATCAGATTACTTGTGCCCAAAAAAGTTTTTGGGGCACTTACTGTATACCAGGCATTTGTGATAAAAAAGAACCAACATAGTCCCACGTGGGCTGTGCTTGAAATTTTGCCTCTTGCTTTTTATTGCCAGTGACTCAAATGATGAATACTGTAGCCAAAAGCCTTGGATTTCCAAGAGTTCCTGAGGATGCTTATTATTTAATTGTACACTGTCAGGCAGTTTACATTCTTACACACAGACTCTGTTTCTATTCTTAAAAAATGCACATTCCTGGAATGCCCTTTAACTATTACTTTACATTTGTATGTTGTTTCCATTAAATAAAAAGCTTTTGGAGAGCATAGATTTGATCAGATTCCTTTTGTAAGACCATGCTGAATGTAGTTCATTCTTTCATCAAAAACTGAACATCTGTGCTCTAGGCTCTAGATTAACATCTTTGGCTGTTGCTGTTGTGAAAGGAAGTTCATTGCTGATTTATGGTAAGAAGATATGATGAGTGCTGTAGAGGCCAGTGTGAAGTTCAGTGAGGGCAGAGACCAAGTCTACTGGGGTGAAGTAGGCCTAGGGAGATTGAAAGAGCGTGGTTGGTATCTTGAAGCAAAATAAAGGTTTTCTAGGAGGACTAGGTAAGAAACGGCTGGAGAATGTTTTGCCATAGTGAATGGGCCAAGGGCTACAAGAGAAATAATACAATAGTAGTAGTTGATCAGTGAGTGTTTTCCTTGCTGTTGTCTAATAAAGGGCCTGACCTGGGCCTCTGATTTCTCTTTTCATTTTGATTTCCCCTTGTCTAAAAGAGGCCACTTAGGTGGGCTTAACTATATAGGCCTTTGTCTCTGCACCACATTGTGCTGAACATTGTTAGATATTTCCCTTCCCGTACAGAAGAAAAGCTGATGGCCAGGCCAGAGCCTGAATCCCTCCAAGGGCAGCGGCACCACAGTGGATCGCTTTGCTCAGTGCCCCCTCAGTTAGCTGTTTCTAACAGCTGCTCTGGAGGGAGCAGGTCAGCATTCACAAGGAGCTTGAAGCAGTGTTTGGAGGAAAGATGCTGGCTGGGTAGCTGAACCCGCTTCATTAATTTCTCCAGGCAGCTTAAGAACTTTTCTGCAGACAGCTGCAAGTCAGGAGGTTTTCCTTGATTTCTTCCAGTTCCTCTTGGCAGGGTGCCTCCTCTTCTCTACCTCCGAGACACCTGTTTCCAACTCGTGACGTGTCAGTGACTCTATTGTGTGTGAGGATGCTGCAGAATAGGCAGAAGCTCTTGTTCCTCTCTGAAGTGCTGCCATGGCTTTGTGCTTGGCACAGGACTGGACTGGTAGCAGTTCTGGGTTGTGAGGGGCTGAAGTGATTTCTAGCAGGAGGACAAACACATTTGCAACCAGATTTGGTAAATAAGATGCAACGGTCAGAACTGAAGTAAAAGTGAGCTGTTACTGAAGAGATTTCTGAGTTGTTTTGGAGGTGGCCACTCCATGGATGAAGCAAACTGCCTCCCTAGGGAACTGTGTATGTACATTTTGACAAGTTTAAGTCTTGTAAATACTTCCTATGTTGTTATTTACTGAGGATCATCCGAGAGGACTAACATTTCACACAGATCAGTTTTCCAGATAACTTAAAATTCACCTTTTGAGCATTAAAATTTACTTTTAAATTCAATGTAAAAGCACTGTTTATGTCATAGATTATTCAGTTCTGCAAATGTATTTATTAATAACTTTTGGAAGTGATTCTTCAGTGCTTAATTGGTTTGTAATTAACAATTCTTGGGTAGGCCAATCCATTCAATTACTCAGTGGGTCTGTTTGTCACTAATCTTAGAAATTTTGCCAAAAAACCCCTGTCATGTAAATTTCTTTGAAACAAATAAATATGACTGCTTTCTTTTTAATATACAAAGTACCTTCAACACAGTAGATATCAACTTTGCTTTTTGGTTCAGTGTCATAACCATGAGCTTAATTATTCCATTACCTGGCAATATTATGCTCAGAGCCTTGAATTATCTTATTCTTTTTTCTGACAGTTTTTCTTCCAGGTTGTTACATGTGATTTTTTCCCCCCCTGTGTTTTCAAGTTTATTACTAGAAGCCTGTGTTCTTTCTAAATTAAGCTTTCTAATTTATCAAGATTGTAGAAACTACAGAACCCAGTTTCTTAGATTTGCTTACAATTAAAGCATAGAAAGACCCTGAGTAAAGATTTAAATGGCTTTCATTTTAATAAGTTATAAAATATTTTACTCCTTAGAATTTAGGATGCTTATTTTGGTTGGTTTCAATAAAGTATGTTAATTAAAGTTGTGAGACCAGCAATAGGTCAGAAAAACTTGGCAGTTTAGATTAATTGCTAGAGATAAAATCTGCGAAAAATTATAGTTAAGCCCAAAATTTCTTTCTAGTCACTGTGTGTGTGTGTGTTTGTGTGTGTGTGTGTTGTGTTGAGGGGGAAGAATCATTCAGAATATAGAATAAGAATTATTAGAGGATGGGAAGTGTGGAGGGCAGTAGTGATGGAATGGGATGGATAACAGGTGCCAGATTCTGGAGTTGTGTGGTACAGTGGTAGACTTTAGTTCATAGTAATATATTGTGTGTTTCTTGAACAAAGAGAAGCAAGGAGTTGAAGTGCCGCATATGAAGTAACGATAAGAAGAGGGAAGCATTAATACTCTGATTTCATCAGTACTGAATGTTCACATTTATTGAAATATCACACTGCATTCCATGAATATGTACTACGTTAATTAATTTTAAAGTGTTTAGGGAACTGATATTGTGGCACATCGGGCTAAGCTACCTCTTGTGAGGCTGGCAACCCATATTAGAGCACCTGTTAGAATCCTGGTTGCTCTGCTTCCAATCCAGCTTCCTGCTAATGGGTTTGGGAGAGCAGCAGAGGATGGTCCAAGTACTTGGCCCCTGTCATCCACAGGGGAAATCTGGATGGATTCCTGGCTCTTGACTTTGACATGATCTAGCTCTGACTCTTGTGACCACTTAAGGAGTGAACCAATGGATGGAAGATCTTTCTGTCTGTTGCTCTCCCTCTTTCACACTCTGCCTTTCAAATAAGTGAAAAAAAAATCCTTAAAAAGAAGGTGGACATACCAATCTGATTTAATCAGCATCCATTGACTGCACGCATTAAATTATCACACCATATCTCATAGATACATTCAGTTATAGCAATGATAATAGAAACTTTAAGAAAACCAGACTATTAAAGGAGTAGATTGATTTGATTTCTCAATTCCAAGTCATAATGAGAGCTTTAGCCTGGTACTGTGCCAGATGCAGTAGATCTTTTCACAGCTTTAAAGAGACATTCCTGTTCCAGAAGAGTTAGGGATTTACTTGGAGAAAAGAACATACCCTAAGCTTTCTTCAGTGTTATCGAATGAAAGATAAAACACTTTGTTTTTTAAGTAAGGCTTTGTGTGCCTTGAGCAACAAACCATACTGTTGTAGTGTGGGTTCAGTAATTCGCACGGGTTCTTCTGATAATAAAACTGCAGGTTTATAATACTGTTCTTGCCAGCCCCTGGGACATATGTAGAAGCAGAGCATAGAGAAGTTAAGTCATTTTCCCTAACAAGATTAGTCACACAGTGACAAGGAATGCAACGGGGCTTCCCCCCAGACAGTCTGGCTCCAGGTTCAATGCTCTGGCCACCATTCTAACCTGCTTCTTGTGAGACAGGCAGCATGCAAAAAGGCAGGACTTGGACCACCTACCCTCGGGCTTTCTGGTGGCCTGGTTGTATATGCACGAGTACAAGAAAGTATATAAAATTATAGGATAAATATATTGCATTTTCTCAGAAGACTTACACATCTATATAAAGATAAATACACACACATGTATTAGTTTGAGAAGCTGAGAGCGAGTGAGTGAGTACTCCCACCCATTGGTTTACTTTTCAAATAGCGGTAATCAGCTGGGAGCCAGGAGCACGGTGTAGGTTTTTTATGTGGATGGCAGGAAGTCAGTCATTTGAACTTTCTTCACAGCCTCCCAGAGGTTTGTGTTAGCAGGAAGCAGGCAAATTAACTAATATCTCAACTGCTAGACCAGTTGCCCACCATGGCATCATTTTTTAAACTCTAGTTACACAGAATAATAATTCCTTACTGATGACACACTCTCATTGTTAATGAGTGGCTCAGTTTGTTTCTAAATGTTGTAAATTCCCATAAATCCACCAGCAGCCCTTATCCTAGAATTTACATGTCCCTAGTGGCTGTCTTCCTTCCTCCCTAACCAGAGATAGTCATCATCTGGATTTTTCTTTCAGCAATCCCTTGCTCTCATTTTTAAATATAGTTTTGCGTCTCTGTGTGTTTCTAAAAGAGCATTTTTTGGATAATTTTTTTACTTTGTAAAGATGATATCATGCATATATAATCTGTTGTGATTTGGTTTCTCGTTATGGCACATGATTGAGATAGATCCATGTTGTATGATGTGATACAGTACCTCTTTTGACTCTATTATATAATGTTTTTTCCTTTGTATGTACGACGCTTTATTCTTTCATTCTGTTGATGGGGATTTGACACTTTGGAGATTTTGCCCTTGTGAATAGTACCTGGGGAATGTTCTTCCGTATGTTTCCTTACTCGTACGTTAAGAGCGTGCTACACAGATGTCCACGTGTATATACATCAAGGAGAGGAATTGCTGGTTTGTAGCACAGGGTACATGACTGTTTACTTCATCAAATAATACCAAGCTGGTTTTCCAAATGGATGTACCAATTTATAAAGCTACCGGCTGTCAGTAAGAAATCCTCTGAAATAGTGTTTCTTTCTAGCACTTGCTATTCTCGTTTTGACAGCTAAATGAATGTACGAGTATTTCTTAATTTTCTTAATTTCTCATTTCTGGTCGCTAATGAAATTGGGTCTCTGTATGTGTTGGCCTATATATTCCCACCTCTGTGAAGTACTAATATTTGGTGACATACCCATTGTTTGTACTTTTTTTTTTTTGGTAACTAGATTTTAACCCATTTTCATGGGTTCTAAAGATTATCATCTGAGAGTCGAAAAACTGAAGGGCTTGAGTCAGCTTCTCCATTTTGGGAGGACGTTTATTTTCCCTTCTGCATATTTCACTATGAATGGGTTCGGCTGCAAAGTTTGTGAGTTGGCTGGGTTTAAGGAGGTGCAGCCAAGGCTAGGGCAGGGAAGGAGGAGCACGGTTTTTCTGGTTTGAGGCCTGTGGTTGTAGAAAGGCTGGGAAGGGTGCATGACTCACAGGAAATCTCTTCTATGCCTGTGTTGCCCTCTGTGGCTGGGTCTCTGGGAGCCTTCTAGACCAGGCTCTTTCTGAAAACAGGAGGCTGGTGTTTGGCGAGTGTTTTATGTCTGTTAGAAAAATGTGGCTCACCATTGGCATAGGTGGAGAGCGAATTTATTGCTTTATGCGGTTAGGGAAGGGTCTGCTGCCAAACCCCAGGGTTCTCTGCCTGTCTGTTGCGTTTGCAGGCTTGCTGTGGGCTTCATTCTTCTAACTGCGGGATGCTTGATGATCTTCATCTGGGGACTCTGTTGAATAGGATAAAGCAGCCAAAACAGAAACCTCAAGTCTTCAAAACAACTTTTGTTTTGGCAATCTGTAAGGAGCTACATTTAGGGTTGGCCATGGTTTAAGAAAAAAAAAGTTAAAAACTTTTTGTTCCGCCTCTATGAGCAGTCAGTGTTAAGAATTAAACATTAATGGGATGTGGCACCTTGACTGCCTGCTGAGAGTGGAGTCTGCTCTCCTCAGTTCTTGGGCCAGGTTGGGTTAGGGAAAGGCCTTGATCTGCATCTGGCTTCAGGACAGAAACTCATGTAGCCTGGGCTCTTGTAGCAGCAGTGTACTCGTTAAGCAATGCTGAGTCCTGGGCTTCCTGATTCTGCCCTTCCCCTGAACCTCACCAGCCTTCTCAGTCCCCTTTGGAGCCTGGGGTGGGAGGTGGGTGCTGGAGGCAGGACCGCATCCATGGCGCATCACCCCCAGTTTAGTGCCACGCTTTGTATTTTACTCCTTCCTTTCTCTCAGAGGCTCTGTAACACAAGTGTCTTGACACACACCCAAAGAGAATAGGTGATTGGAAAATGTGCTTCGCGCCTGCTCATTTCAGCAAATCAGAAATAGGAAGAGAGGGGTCATTGTGGTGGTACAGGAGGTTAAGCCTCTTATGGCAACACCTGCGTTCTACATGGAATAGTGTATTCCAGTCCCAGCAGCTGCTTCCTGCTCATGCACCTAAGAAGCGGAGGATGCTCGTGTATTTGGGATCCCTCTACTCACATGAGACACCTGAGTGGAGTTCCTGGCTCCAACCTGGCCCAGCCCTGGATGTTGGAGGTTTTTGGGGAGTGAACTAGTGGATGGAAAATCTCTGTGCATCACTCTGCCTTTCCAACTAACAAATAAATGTATTTTAAAAGAAATAGAAACACAGGGCCTGGCACCATGGCCTAGTGGCTAAAGTCCTTGCCATGAACGTGCAGGGGTCCCATATGGGTGCTGGTTCTAATCCCGGAAGCCCTGTTTCCCATCCAGCTCCATGCTT